GCATGTCCGAGAGCAACGTGGGGGCCATGCTCACGCGCTGCAGCGTCCTGCTGAACACGAAGCACTCGACATTCTACGGGCCCGCTGGCAACGACTCGTCTGTCGAGAAGTTGCCCGTTCATGGGTGGCTATACCAAGCCCGAAGCAGAACATATCATCACGCGGTTCCTCAGGCACAAGGTGCGCCACGACCATGAGGAGTATGGCAGGCTCCTCGCCTTCGAGAAGAAGGATGTTCTCACGCTGGTGACCGAATCGCGCGCTGCAGCAGCAGGCGCGCGCGGCGGAGGAGGGGGCGGCGGCGGCGCCGCCGCCGCAGGGGGCAGCGCAACGGCACGCGCTCCAGGCGGCGTTGAGGCAGCGCCCGTTGGCGAAGAGACGTTCGCCCACGACGGCGCCGTTGACGCTGGGGCCGACGACGCTGTCGAGGAGGATGTATTCGGCTTCGGTGGCGGCTCGGACGCGCCCGAGTCGACGCCCCCCAGAGAACTGACGAAGGCGCGGAACTCCCGCGTGACCAAGCTCATCAGCGCCGAGGCGAACATGGGCACCGTGGTGCTGTGGCAGGCGGGCGCTGCTTCGGGGTCGAGCGGCGACGCGATCTCGCCGAGTGTCGCGGCGGCGCCCGCGGGCGCAGCGCCCGACGCACAGACCCATGTCGCCGGCTGCCAGGGCGAGCTCTCGGACGAGAGCCGTGCGGAGCAGGTGGTGATCTCCCGCGGCTTCGCCAAGGTCCATGACGGCGCGCGCGAGGACCTGGCCACCCCGCCGAGGAATACCAGGAATACCACCTTGACCTGCAACAGGCCGCTCTCGCCAATCCACCACCGGGAGCACCGGCTGATTTTCGCATCGATGGTTGCTCGGGCGTACTGGGAAGCCATCGCCGTTGACGATGCAGAGTTGGACCTCGAGGCCGAGATAGGGGCGACGCTCGATGCCGGCGCGGCGGCGGAGATTGGCGCGGGCGCGGGCGCGCAGCCTTCAGTCCAGTCGGGCTGAGCGAGCCGCATCCGATTGAACCCGCTTATTTTCCACGCGTAGGTGCAATCCGCGCTGCGATATGTTGGGTGCTTAGTAGAGAAATGTCTCGGCGAAGTGTGCGCGGACAAGCATATTGCTTCTGACTGGCGCGATCGGCGAAAGAGTCCTTTTCAGTGGCGTTTGAGCGCGATCGGTCGTCTAGTCTTCTGTCGTCAGCGTTCCATTGCTTCTGCTCGGTGCATTCGAATCCTGTCGGTTTGGGCTCAAGGATGGGGATGGGGAAGCAGGAATATGCGAGGGCGGTGATGAAGAGAAGGACGAGGAGGAGGAAGAGGAGGAAACAAAGGAGGAGGAGGTGGAGGAGGAGGAGGAGAACATAACATAATAGGAGCATGGACCATGAAGCCATGCCAGGCACAGTTTTTTGGGGGGCCAGAGATGCGACGAAACCATGCCAGGCTCATGTTTTGTAGTGTTATTGGTTTTCAGGAGGTCTGCGAACTTCTTCAGGACGGTTTGCGGGAGGAGCGTGGCCAGGAAACCATGCCACGCAAAGTTTCTTTGGGGGGCACAGATTTCACGAAACCATTCCAGGCCCAGTTTTTTTGTTGGTTACCAAGCAAACTGGTGTCTGGCATGGTTTCGTGGTGTGCCTGACCGAAGAAACAAAAACATGTGCCTGGCATGGTTTCGTGGCCACGCTCCTGACGAAACCATGCCAGCCACAGGTTTTTTGGTGTTCAGGAGGTCCGGAGACTCTGGCCCCGGAAATCTTTGGGGCGTCGTGAGAACCCCAAAACATGTTCGGGCCTGGCATGGTTTCGTGGTATCCCGGACCCCCCCAAAAAAACACCTGTGCCTGGCATGGTTTCGTGGCCGCGCTCCTACGGCGACTCTCCTGACCAAGCTTTGTGGAGGAGGAGGAGGGAGAAGAGGAGGAGGAAGAGGAGGAGCGAACGATTAATGATCGTTTTGGTGGTTCGGGGGGTGCTGGGGGGGGGCGTCCATGACTATTACATATATATGCGTACGTTGTGCAACCTATGTGGTGCAACCAACGTTGTGCATCATCTGTTGTCGAAACGCACTTTATGGTACCATCCATGAGTTGCAACATGTGTTGTCAATCTAGGTTGTGCATGATGTGCGCTGCTACCTCTGTGGTGTAAGATATGCGGTGCAGTATACGCGGTGCAGCGATGCTGTGCAATCCGCGTTGTGCAATACAGGTTGTGTAATCTATGTGGTGTAATATCTGGGTTTTAACCTACGTTGTGCAATTTAGGTTGTGCAACATATGATCCAGGGGTGCCCCCGTCCAATACAGATGGGATCGAGACCCCTTTTCCCCTGGATGGGTCCGCCCGTGAGCCTCGCGAATGCCTCGCGAATGGGGTTGCTTCCCGTCGCCCCTGTGGTCGTGGCCCTGTGGGCGTGGCGCAGTGGAGGGTGCCCGTGCACGCCCCCCCTCCCACTGCGTGTGGGGTGGTTCGTCGTCTTCGTCGTCCTCCTCCGTCGGCGTCGGCGGCCTCCGTCTGCGTCGGCGGCGTCGGCGGGGGGGGGGGCGGGCCATGGAACCTTGGGACCCATCCCGTCTGTGGGGGGGGCCTGTGAACCCTGGACTTGGGATCAAATATACGGTGCAGTCTGCGTGTGCGAGCTGTTTTGTCCATTATGGTTTGCAGCCAGAGTTGTGCAATATGGGCTGCGCAATCTATGTGGCGCAGTTTACATGGTGGTTCTATGTTGTGCAATCTACGTGGTGCAATGGTGCAGTTTATGTGGTACATTCTATGCGGCGCAACCTATGTCGTGCAATTTAGGCGACGACGCGAAGGCGACGGAGACCACATAGCTGCCAGAACGCCAGCCAGGCCCAGACGACTGGCGGCCACGAGGCGGCGACGGGGCGGCGATGGCGACCACGGAGCCGCCAGACCGCCAGCCAGGCCCAGTTCTTGAGATCAGGAGTAAAACCCCTAAGTGCAAATCTGTTGGGGGAACACAAAACAGGAGCAGGAGGAGGAGAAGGAGGAGGAGGAGGAGGAGGGGGAGGAGGAGGAGGACGAGGAGGAGGAGGGGGAGGAGGAGGAGGAGGAGCAAGGAGTAGGAGGGGGAGGATTCAAGAGGAGCTACGGGTACGCATGGGGGAGGATGGGGAGGAGGAGTAGGGGGGCAGGATGAGTTGTAGGAGGATGAGGAGGAGGAGGAAGAGGAAAAGGAGGAGGAGGACGATGCAGGAGACAGGGGGAGGGCCTCAACAGCCACAATCACACCTACCACAAGCATACTGACGACGATGACGATCACTTTCGTGCGCGCCAAGGACATTATAATGTGGGGTCCCGCATTCGGAACAACAGACTCGGGGCCATTCCACCATTCAGCGGGGGGGGGCAGGGCTGGATCCGACTAGGCCTGGACACCCCGACCTTGAGGGAAACGACGCCGTGGAACAACAGTACCACAACGAGCGAGGCTGCCCAAGTGAAGCACCGCGGGCACCACGTGGGAAGGCGCCTCCACCATTTCTGCTCATTTCGGCACGGTGACGTTGATGAAGGGGAGGGGAAAAGGTCACTTTTCGGCCTGGGGTACTCGCGCGGATTGCAGCCATTACAACATTTGAGCTAGAAAGCAGGACATCTCTAATTTCAGCGGTGGGAACTGGAGCTGTCGCAGGGAGCAGGCAAACCTAGCCCTCGCAGCCTGTTGCTCCCTCAATTGGGACCGACGGATTTCAGCATGATGATGCTGGTGAGAACGGCGAGGAGGAGGAAGAGGAGGAGGGGGAGGAGAAGGATAAGGAGGAGGAAGAGGAGGAGCAGCAGGCAGAGGAGGAGGATGAGGAGGAGGAGGAGGAGGAGGAGGGGGAGGAGGAGGGAGAGGAGGCAGAGGAAGGAGAAGAGGAGGAGGAGGAAGAGGAGGAGGAAGAGGAGGAGAATGAGGATGAGGAGGGGGAGGAGGAGGAGGAGGAGGAGAGGAGGAGGAGGAGGAGGAGGAGGAGGAGGAGGAGGAGGTGGAGGAGGAGGAGGAGGGGGAAGGGGAGGGGGAGGGGAAAGAGGAGGAGGAGGAGGACGAGTGTAAACCCAAGAGTCAACAACTATGTTGGAATAAACCCTCTCTCCAAGATTGCTCTTCGTAGGCCCCTGTAACGGGTCACTTCCATTGAGGGAACTTTTTCGTTCGACGACAACCGTTTTAAAACCCTGAAACATGCCAAACAGTGTTCTCGGGATTCCAACGCCACGGATTAACCTAACTGCTGCGACTTGACGATCCTGAGTCGTGCCAGAACGCCATTCCTTGGACTTCATCACGGCGAACCAACGTGGCAGTTGCACCCGCGTAATCCAGAACCTTCAAAACACCATGTGTGGTACGCTGATGATGGGAGTCTGTGAATCTCTTGCACATTGTGTAAACGAACGAACGTGCGCGGCGCTCAGGCGAGAGCCACATTTTAAAAAGGAGCCGGCCTCAATCCGTGAAGCTCTTGCAAAGTTTAAGAATCATGTACGCCGCGCTAGGGCGAGAACCACATTTTGAAAACGATCCGCCCTCAATCCGAGAAGCTCTTGCAAACGTTTCGAAATAATGAGCGCCGCGCTAAAGCGAGAACCACATTTCGACCCCCCCTCAACCCGTGAAGCTCTTGCAAGTTTTTAACACGAATGTGCGCCGCCCTCAGGCGAGAGCCACATTTGAGCAACGATCCGCCCGCCATCTGTGAATCTGCTGCAAAATCTTAAGCTCCAGAGGCATGCATCTTGAGGAAGTCTCAGGCGAAAGACCCGGACCGCCCTAAAAACTGGCCTCGGGGTGCGACAGGAATGAAATTATTATCAGGAAGAGGAATTGAGGATGAGGAGGACGAGGAGGAGGAGGAGGAGGAGGAGGCAGAGGAGGAGGGAGAGGAGGAGGGGGGGGAGGAGGAGTTGGAGGAGGAGAAGGAGGAGGAGGAGGAGGAGGAGGAGGAGGAGGAGGAGGAGAGTGAGGCGGAGGAGGCCCGCGAGGCGCTGCTGCTGGACCCCGAGACGGGCACCGCGGAGGCGGTGGCCGGGCTGCTGCGGGCGTGCTGCGAGTGGGAGGAGGCCGGCGGGGCCCAGGGGGGTGGGCTGTGGGGGGGGGCAGCCCAGATGGGTTCATCCTCACTTTCGTCCCGCCCGTCTTTGCCGCCGTTAGCAAGTCACTTCGTCTTGTCTGATGGTTGCCCCGACCTTGGGCGGTACACCAGGGTGGTACGCCAGGTCGCTGATCCGACCAACGGGGTTGAGGCGCTGCAGAGTCAGATCACCGCGGGTCCTGCTCGTCTGTCTCAGAGGCCCTCCCCCCCTTTCATTCCTCCTCCTTCTTCCTCCTCCTCTCCGTTCCGCTCTGCCCCCTCTTACTACTTTCCCATTCTTTCTCAGCAACTCCTCCCTGTCGCACCCCGAGGCCGGTCGAAAAGGCTGGCTGGGTGTTTCGATTGAGACATCCTTACCTTTTATGATCATGAAGATTCAGAAATGGCATCAGTTTCACAGATGGAGGGCCGGTGGTTTTCAAACTGTATCTCTCGCCTCAGAGCCGCGCGCATTTTCTTGGAACGCTTGCAAGATTTTCACGGATTGAAGTCGGGTGGTTTTCAACATGTGACTCTCGCCTCAGCGCCGCGCACATTGGTGTCCAAAATGATGCTCTCGCTTTCGTGCCGTGCACATTCGTGCGACATAAAGGCAAGGGCTTCGCGGATTCAGGGCGGGTGGTTTTCGAGATGTGGTTCTCGCTTTAGCGCCGCGCACATTTTTGTGGACATGTGCAAGAGACTCACGGATGGAGGGCGTGTTGTTTTCAAAATTTCGCTCTCGCTTGAGCGCCGCGCATAATCTCTTCGATCGCGCGTAAGAGTTTCACGGATTGAGGGCGATTCCTTTTCAAGATGTGGCTCTCGCTTTAGCGCCGCGCACATTTGGTGAAACCAGTTGCAGAGTTTTGCGGAGTCGCATGGTGATTTGGAACGATTCCGGTTTGTCAAGGCGCAACAATTAAGTTGATTCGCGGTGTTGAAGTCCCTGGAATGGTGTTTTGGCACGGTTCAGGATCATCACGCCGCAACCGTCAGGTTGATTCGTGGCGCTGGAGTCCCGAAAATGGAGTTTTGGCACGCTTCAGGATCTCCACACATTGTCTCCACACAGGGCACTTCCTCTACCGCCCTCTATCGTTGCAGTTGCTGCAGACGTTTAAGACGAGCATTTTCGCAAGGTTCAGTTTAGAGTAATGGCCTCAATTATTATAGCAGTTGCTGTATGTGTATCTTGCTATGGCGAATGTGCGCGGCGCCAAGGTGCGAGCCCCATGTGGGAAGCATGCCACCTTCTATCCTGGTAGATCTTGGAGCTAGCTGTTGGGTTTTGTATTATCTAGCGACGCGTTCGGCCTGCCCTGCGGGCACGTCTGGTGGTGCCACGGTGAGGGGTTGTAGATATTGAGAAAGGACCAAGCCGGAGAAGGGTGGAGAGAAGAGTGAGGAGGAAGGGAAGGAGCAGTAGGAAGATGATGCGGAAGAGGAAGGGGAGGCGGAGCAGGAAGTGGATGAGTAGGAAGTCTGGGAGGAGGAGGAGAAGGAGGAGGAGGAGGAGAATGGGGAGGAGGAGGAGGAGGAGACAGAACGAGGATACGGAATATGGTGGAATAGGGGGAGACACGGGGTGAGGAGCAGGGAGAAGGAAGGAGCAGAAGAAGAGCGAAGTGGGCGGAGGGAGGGGGGGATGAGATAGGGGAAGGGGGAAGGAGGGGCAGAGGAGACGGAGGAGGGAGGGAGGCAGTGAGGGAGGCAGGGTGGCCGTGAGGATGAGCAGGATTGGGGAACGGAGGAGTACGAGGAGGAGGAGGAGGAGGAGGAGGAAGAGGCGAAGTGTCCAGTACACACATATATATATATATATATATATATATATATATATAACGCATGCAAATTATACATGCCTATACTTGTTTTATATATATATATACACGGTCTAAGAAGCGAGCAGCTGGGCGCCCTGGCGTTCAGCCGAGTGCGCTCGCGGATCTCCCCGCGCATGAACCAGAGGGGACCGCGGGCTGCTTGCCGCAGGGCTCCACTGCACGCGCCCGCGCGCGTGCGCGCGAACGGAGGCCCGAAGAGCGCGCGCGCGAGCCGCTTGCGGGAGGACAAGTCGGAGTGCTGCAGTCGCCCCATCGAGACTTCCCAGGGCTTCAGGCCCCGAAACGGAGCCATAGCGCCCGTCTTGTTTTTTTGGCTTATGCGGAGCCTCCAAGCTCGGAGGAGCAACCACTGTTGATTCCCACTGTCTGGCGCGCATTGTTTTTCATCTGGGTGCGGAACTCGACGCTCGCGCCTAGTTCTGTCTCGGGGAGCCTCCAGGCTCAGACTAGGCCCCTGGGCCCCCGGCTACAACAACGGCTCCCGCCTAAAACGCTCCATCAATTGATGCACGAGTCGCGGTCCCGCTCGAGACTTCCTTGCAAACTACTGCCCACGAATCGCGTTTTCGCCGCTCAGAAATCCCATTCGCACCTGGGATTCCTTATTTGATTTTGAACAGAAGCCCGCTCTCGCCACTCAGGCATCGCATTTTCGCCGAGGACTTCCGCACAATGAGTGCTCTCGCCCGAGAGTTCTGACAATCTACTCAATACGCGCGCTCGAGGCCCGCCCAAACCGCCTGTCCAGCCCTTTGCTTTGTCCGCCCGGCCTTTCCGTCAGGGTCCACCAGCCCGACCCGCACGTCCGACCCGCCCAGTAGGTTAGCCCTCTCGCTTGTTTCAAGCAACGAATCTGCATCAACGAAGATGCAACGCACCCTCCTGTCCCAAATCCCCTCCCTGTAAGTCCCTACATGTTTTCATTAATTCCAAGAAGCGCCTTGCTTGAAAGACCAGCAGCCCGTGGGCGGGCAACTCAGGCGAGAGCCTTGTGTTGAAACATAAATTGCCTTGCATCCTTCTAGAGAGTAGTGAGGAATGCGGCAAGGTATGATCATGCAATTCGACGAAGAGAGAACCTCGTTTTGAAAAAGAACCAATTCAAGTTGGGTAAGGTTTGTGCAAATTTACACATCTGGCAGGAAACTGCGGGGAAGTCCCAAGAGAAATGTCAATTTTGAAAAGCCGCCCCTAATCTTTGCAGCTGATACATATGTTTACGCATTTTGTCTTCAAATGTTGAAGGAGATCTGGGCGAACATCACACGTGGAAGAACAGCACACCGCCCAGGCCTTGAAGCTGTTGCAAACATCAAGACGCCCCTGAGGCGAGAGCCCCATTTTGAATCCGACCTTCTCCGTTTTTCTATTGTTTGCAAGCGTTTGAGACGAATGTGCGGGGCGCTAATTCGAGCCCCGTTTTGTCAACGAACCGCCCTTAATCCTTGAAGTTGGTGCACATTTTGAAGGCGAACGTGCGCGGCACCAAGGCGAGAGCCCTGTTGAAAACGACCTGTGCTCCATCCTGGATATGGTTGCAAACTTTTCAGACGAACTTGCGCGGCGCTGGGGGAAGAGCCTCTGCTCGCAAGCCATCGGTGCTCCATCTTTGGAATTATTACAATGAATCCCGCAGCGCTAAAGCGAGAGCCCCGTTTTAAGAACCACCCCCCAGCATCCTCCACGAATGTGCGCGGGGCTGAGGCAATGACCCCAGTTTGAAAACGACTCGCCTTCGATCCTTGCAGCTGCTGCAGATTTCAAGCTCCAGGATCCTACGTGGTGGGGACGTCTGGCGAATCGCGTGGCCTGCCCGACTGACACGTCTTACGGTGCGACAAGAGGGGGAGAGTTCTGAAACATTTATTCTTATATACACATCATCATACGCACCACTCCGAGGGAGTAGAGTTCACAGGCGATTCTTGTTGGAGCTCCGAGCTTTTTTTTCTGGCCGTATCGCTCGGGAAATCCTGAGCAGCCTGAAAGCTGGACGCGCCCCTCGCGCAGGCCGCGACGTCACTGTCCAGCAGCACGCTGGATCTTCAACCTTACAACAGAAGGCCTCCAACAACACGATAGTGCTTATTTCTGGGTCTTAGTGTTTCGATCATCGCAGTTTCGCTTGGGACATCCTCCCAACATCGAGCCCCTCACACATACACACACACACACACCACACGCAACAGACCACACACACAGCACGCACTGAACACACAACAATTACACCACACAGAGCACACACACGCACGCACGCACGTACGCACAGCACACACATCACACAACACACTCAACACACGCACACACACACACACGCACACACTCAATACACACTCAACGCATACGCACAACACACCCGCCACACATAACACGCAGAACACACATACTTCACACATCGCACACACACAAAACACAGCACGCACACAACACACATCACACATACACACACACACGGTACACCCACATTACACACAACCTGCACATGTGTTTTTGTGAGCCTGGGCGCGCACGTACTCTTTGTAAACATATCTATACAGAGATACAAGCATGATGTCTTCCAGAAATTCCTCGCCTTCGAGTTCCGAAGGAGTTGTCATTTCTTCCTCGGCGGAAGGCGGCGGGAGGCCGGCGGAATGAGGCGGAAATAAAACAAGGCCGCCGCCACTTGCGGAAGACCAACATAAATTTGCGGACGTTAACATCGGCCTCCCAAGAGATGGCAGATGGCAAAATTGTTTCGTTCGGGGCTTCGGAATCTCCCATCTGCATATATATATATATATATAGATATATGTATATCTGGGTGAGGGGCCTAACTGTCATTTATTGTTTCTGGGTGCATGGCTGAAGTGGGCGTCCGCGGGGCGGACTGTTGTTGTTGTTGTTGTTGTTGTTGTTGTTGTCATTGTCATTGTTGTTGTTGGTGGTTGTTTGTTTGTCGCTTGTTGGTTGTCGTTTGTTGTTTGTTGTCGTTGTCCCGCCCGCGACCCACCCGCGACCCACCCGCGACCCACCTGCCACCCACCCGCAACCAACCCGCGACCCACGCGCGACCTACCTGCGACCCACCCCGCGACCCACCCGCGACGCACCCACGACGCACCCGCAGCCCACCCCGCGACCCACCGCGCGACCCGCCCGC